AGAAAAAAAACATCACTCTAAGCCTTCTGGAAGTCCTAGTTACGTCACTGACTGTGAATACGAGCTGCAGCCTAATCAGCGTGTTGTTAGAGATAGAAAACAGCGGCAGCAGCTCTACACCAGAGCTCTTTACTGAAAGAGTCACTGTGAAACTGCTACAACATAAAATATATGCTGATATGTCACAAGTAAAACATGGAGTGTATTTAAGAAGCTTTAAATGTCTGTTTAACATAGAAAGGCCAAAAACTGTTCATGCAAATTGCTGTTAGCTTAGCACTAAAAACCTACTAGAATTGTATAGGGATGCTAGCAGAAGTTGTGGGCTTTTTCCTCACGTTTTGACCAATTTTGGCATTTCTGGCCCAAGTTGAAGACCTAGCTCTAACAGTCATGGCTCGCCACTGAAGTAATCCCCGTTACTGTTAAATCCCTGTTAAATTTAGATTCATCAGGCCATAAAGCCTAGTCCACATCTCAGATGTCTAGTTTTGGTGGTGTAGTGCAAATTTTCTGCTGTTTTGTATGTTCCTTTTTTAGTAACAGCTTCTTAACAGCTACACATCCTTTCAGACCCATAGCGTTGAGTTGTCTTCTCACAGTGGAAGGATGGACAGAAACACCTGTGGATTTTTTCAAATCTAAAGCAGGAGTGGAACTTGATTTTCTCCTCTCTCTCTAAAATGAAACTCCCAAGTCAGAAAGCTCATATCCCCTGCCCCAGGATGTTTTTTGGCTTGCCCTTCAAGCATCTTGTCCCATATTCATCTTTCTTACATGTGAACATCACCTTATTTCTATGCAGGAGAAAAAAAATCTTGCCTTGAAATGACTTCAGCTGCTTCCTTGCTTATTTTGAGTTGTACCTTTTTAAAGGGACATTCTTATGTTTCAAAACGTCTGCATAATTAAATGGTTAATATGTATGCAGAGTCATTCAGAGTGGTTTGATGTAAAATGATCCATACTAGAGTAACATACTGAGTCAGAACTGTTCGCAGTGGTGTTTGTATTTCACAGAAATAATTTTGTTTCAGTTGTCTGTGGTGAACCATGACAATTATGGCTAAGCCTTCAATCCACCTCTATGATAATGCTTATTGCTGCTAGCATATCTATGGGATTCAAGTAGTTTATCACTCGCAGTTTACATTAATATTCTTTGGATGTTCTGCATTAACCACAGACATTTAAAGCTACTAAAAGATATGTCTATGTCTTACTTTAAGTTTGTGACAGATATATTAGCATACACTTTACATTGTAGTAGTTCCACAGTGACTTTCAGTCGAGGGGGCTTGCATAGAGCTGCTGCCACTGTTTTATACTTCTAACAAACCCATTAGGCTGCTGTTTGTATTCACAGTCAGTGACATATGTAGAACTGCCAGAGGGCCTAGAGTTTTTTTTTTTTCCACTAAATCGGTTCTGCCTATTGTAAACCAAAAGGTGATTCGTTGATTCCTCTGTTGATTCTTATGCTGATGGTTAATCGAACATGTTAGGACTTCTCTTCAGCTCTTGGAGCCCTAACCAATAAGAGAGCTCGATTAGCTCTATCTACTTAGACAGCACTGAGGAAAACAACTGCTGATTGGTCAATTTAACCCATTTGTTTCTATTTAAAATGTAACAATGAAACATGAGCTGTACTGTAATACTTGCAGAGTTTAAATATAATAACTCTTTTGAATAAAACTAACCTAAAAATGACCAGCACCCCATCGTTAGATAAACACAAATTTAGTATAAAATGAGTTTTGTAGTATTACTTTTAATGAAGCATTTATGCCTCTTCCTACTTCCCCTTATTGAGTATGTTCTACCTTCCTCTGTAGTAATTCAAAAAGCCCAACATTCGTCTTACTAATTAGCCTCTAGCTCCACATCTAATTAGGAACTCAGCTGCTTTAGCCTCCTGCTCCATATGATTATTGGTAACTCATGGTTAGCAAAGCAGCTAATGGAATGGCATCTGAACTGCCTCCATGAACCTGAAAACAAACATGCATGTTCTTTGACAACGGCCACGACACTGAAGACAGACTAAGACAGGATGAGTGACAGAGCAAAGATATTCGATATCTTAAGATATTTATTAAAAACAAATCTTCTCTTTTTGTCTTTTCAGGTCTGGCCATTTTTTCTTTGGTTTATCCTCAGATCTTTTCATAGTCTAGTCCCAAATACATGTGCTTTCTTCACAGTTATTTCCCAAACTGCTTGTCTTCTAGCAGCCAAGATTTGCCTTCGTCAGCACTTCTGGTTCTTTTAGAGAGAATTTATTTTTTCTCTGTCTGCAGCCTTTCATGCCTGCAGCTTGGTTGTGTAACAGTACCTCTGCAATTTGGATTTAACAGTTCAGGGCTGATATCATTTCAATGCCAGGTCACCCTGTCACTCTTACTGATGGGTTCATCAGAGAGAGCTACTTCGATTCTTTTTACTGGAGAACATGGATTTGGTGGCTGTGTTAATCCAGACAGAGTAGGTGTTAAATTGTAGCTAATGACAATTTGTTAGCAAGGTCTAATTTCATTAACCAGACAGAATAACTGATAACAACCATGGTAACTGTAAAAATATGAAATAGTAAAATCCTTGCAATCCTTAACCTTTTGGTAATATCAGTGTTTTTTAAGGACCACAGCAAATGTGTTTAAAAGTGCAAAGGACATATTTTTAAAATTCTTTAAATGATCTTTTTGCAGCAATGAATATTTTTTATAATTTATTTTATTATTTTTTATTTTTTATTATTTTCAATAGTGTGGACAACTGATCTCACTGACAAAACCACAGACTCCATTTTAGATTTATCACAGAAAATAATGAAGACTTTTAGAAACTTAAAATGCTATCTGTTGGAGGTAGGCCATAAACTCAGGGCAAAAAACCTGTAGGATAATGCTTTGTAATGGATTCTGGTAGCACCTCTAAGGGAATTTCATGTTAGTATGAGGCACATAAACCTTTTCGGGCCATTCTAGATTAAACATGGACAACAGAAGCTTATAAAAGACATTACATGTTTTATCTGATTATCACCTCTTATTTACGTTGGATGTTCATCTATACGAAAGGCCTTCAGCCCAGCTCCTGATGACCTAACCAATAGGAAAGCTTACTTGACTGTATCTACCTAGTTACCACAGAAAAAATCCTAAATGGACAAATTATTTTGTTTTGAACCAAAACTTAACAATGAAATAAATTCAATAAGACTTTAAGTTTAAACAAACTTAAATACAGACTTTTATTTATATCCACAGAACTCATTAGGCCTTCTCTGAAGGGTTCCTGAGTAGCATCAACACATAACTCAGTTATGTGGGTTCACAAGTACCTGACCCTCTCATTAGTCTTTGTCTAATTGAACATTTTGAAATAAAACGTGTCCATGGTAGGTGCCATGCCTCTAGCTCATTGTTAGTCATGTGGCTAATCAGTGCTGGCTAAGGTCTGTTGCTTAGAGAGTGAGTAATTAGCATAAAGCTAACCTTCGATCGGGCTAACAGATGGAGTTTAAAGCGAAGACTTTGGCACGGCTGGGCAGTGGGATGGAGGTTAGACCTCAGGGCCGGTGAAACAGCCATATTGCTGTGGTTTGCTTTGTGCTAACGGAACACACTAACAGCGTACAGTGCCCTGTAGCGTTTTTGAGCAATTACTGCAGCAAAAAACACATTTGGCTCCACGGCTCGGTGTAAACCCACTGCAAATAGACGAGGGGAAGGGTTGGACAGAGATATATTTTCTGGGCGATTCTGGTGCCAACACTGCTAGCGACGATCAATTCAAAACCCCTGCCATGGCAGCTTGTGTGTGTGTGTTTTTGTGTGTGTGTGTTTGTGTGTGTGTGTTTGTGCCATGTGTCTACATGCTCACTTAACAAGCCCCCCTATCATCATAAATCCATAGGCCACACACAATTTCCACACACACATCCTGGGAGCTAATTACTGAGCAGAGCTGGCTTGCTCAGGCCCTGCTCCAACACACAGAACAATAAAGCAGACAATCAGGGAGAGAGAGAGATGGATAGAGTGAGAGTGAGAGAGTGAGAGAGAGAGAGAGAGAGATAAGACATGTTTTGTGTCATGCATGGACAGCTACGCTGTAATTAATATCGTGCCCATGACAGGGTCTTCATAAACACAAAGTGTGTGTGTGCGTGTGTGTCCCGGGTGTGTGTGTGTGAGTGCGTGCCTGTAGCGATGACTGGCCCAAACTAATGAGAGCTGTTTAAATGAGCTTTATTTGGCTAACCTGCAGCTGATTGGCTTTTACTGTTATTGAGCTGCTTTTCACACCACCACAGAAAATCTGTGAGCTGGAGACGAGGAGTGGAGAGCTGGCATGCTTTAAAATGTTTTCTATTAAAAATGCAGCATGAAATAAAAGCTAACATAGCTTTCTTTGAGACACAGAATTAATTTGGCCTGAACAGATCAAAGATGGCGTCTTGTCCACAATGAAAATATGTGATCAATATCTACAGCAGTCTGACAGAGGTGTCTCCAGAAGATGTTGCAGTTTGTAGTTTCTGTTGTTTTATCTTGCTAGCTAGCTTTTATTCATCTCTTTTCTTCACTGACACTCTAAGGACTGACTTTATTGATGTAGCTCAAGGCAGAGCATTGTCACACTTTCTGTTTTTGTTGTAATGTTGATTCACACTACAGTGCAAAAGTTAGAGACCCTTTGTTTATTACATTTTAAGTAAAAACGGCCATTATAAACAAGCTTTTCCTTTTTCAGGAGACATGTCTAAGAAGATTAGAAATAAAATAGTACAATTAGGTAAGGAAGGGGAAAGTCAGAGTGAAAAAAATGAGACTCCTAACAACTGTTGTGGACCTACAAGACCACCAAAACCGTCCCCATGAGATAAACAGTGCTTAAAGCTTTCACAGCATACTAAATATACAGTTTATGAATGTATATGAAAATTAAAAGCCCTGAAATCTCTTTGGGTGGGATTTTTTCAGCACACTTACCCCGAACATCTGTCTGAGGTCTGGGTCACGGAAGCGGAAGGGGATGTTGGAGACGTGGAGGCGTTTAGGTTGCTGTTTCTCTGGAGAGTCCGAGGACTGCAGCGTCAACTGCTGGGAACTTTCTGTTTGCGTCACGTCATCTGTCTGCCCCAGTGGAACAAAAGACAAAAGATACACGCAATCATTAGATCACACTTGTGTAAGTGTTGCCATGGTGATCGTGTCTGCTGAAAATTTGTGATGATCTAGAGAGAACTTTCTCAGTCTCTTTAATTTACTAAAGGTGGAGTCATGAGAATGCAAGAAAACAGCACCTTTACTCGTGGCGACCTTACATTATGTAAGTTAATATTTTCAACAGTGTTTTTTATACCTTTTTTTAAACATATACATGGAGTTGACATCCATACATACAACATGCAAACAAAATAATATAGTACTTTAAAGTCTGTTAGAGCTTCAGATGTCTGTGTTTTATCTAGAAAGCTGCTATAAAATATAAATATTCACCGCTGTTAGCTTAGTGCTCACATAACATTGAGGAAATTTCCATGCCATTATTTTATCTTCCATGCATTATCTTAGCTGTTGTAATTGAGTAAATAAATAACATACAAAGCTCAATTCCAGAAAAGTTGGAACATTTTGTAAAATGCAATAAAAACAAGAATCTACAATTTGTTAATTCTCTTGAACCCTTTTTTTTAACTGATTCAAGTACAAAGAAAAGATTTCCAATGTTTTCACTGACCAGCTTAAATTTATATTGTAAATTTAAGCAAATTTAGAATTTGGTGTCTGCATCACATTCAGAAAAAGTTGGGAAAGAGGCTTTTTAACTGTTTGGGAACTGAGGACACTAATTGTTGCAGTTTTCAAGTGGAATTTTTGCCCATTCCTGCTTAATATGAGACTTCAGGTGCTCAACATTCTGTGGTTGTCATTGTCTGATTCTCTTTTTCATGATGCACTATAAATTTTCAATAAGAGATAGATCTGGACTGCAGGCAAGTCAGTCAAGCATATACAGTCAGAATAAGGCGTGGCATTGCCTTGCTGAAATAACTGTGAACTTCTCAGGCAGCGTATGTCTCTCTAAAATCCCATTATATGCCTCTGCGTCAGTGGTACCTTCACACATATGCATGTCACCCATGCTGTGGGCACTGATGAACCCCCATACCAACATGACATATGTTGACTTTTGCACCTTTCACTGATCAGTCCCTTTTGTCTTTGGTACCAAGAACTCAGCATCTGTTTTTCCCAAAACAAACTGAAACGTACTTATCTGACCACAGCACACATTTTCAGACCATCTGAGATGAGTTCGGGCCCAGAGAACTTGGCGGCGCTTCTGCATAGAACATTTGTATGGTTTTCTCCTTGCGTAATACTGTTTCAAATTGCATTTCTTGATGCAGCAGACTGTGTTGAGTAACATCAGTTTTCCAAAGTACTCCCAAGCTCATATGACTATATTTAACACAGTAGCATGATAGTTTCTCATTTAATGCTGTCTGAGGGCCTGAGATCATGCACATGTTTCCAGCCTTGCCCTACATGGACTGAGATTTCTCTGGATTCCCTGAATCGTTTCACAATATTATGTATGGAAGATGGTGAAATATCTAAACTCTTTGCAATCATGCATAGAGAAATGTTCTTTGTTTATCTTAGCTTCCAAAGACTGAGCCTTTGCTGGTGTTCCTTTTATACCCAAGCCTGATACCTTTACCTGTTACCAATTCACCTGCTTATTGTGGAATGTTTCAAAATGATTTCACTTAAACATTCAATTAACTTCTCAGTTTTATTTTGTCCACGTCCCAACTTTTTTTGGAGTGTTTTGCAGGCGTCAAATTCAAAATTTTGGTACATTTACAAAATACTACCAAGTTGATCAGCCAAAACAGTCATTTCTGTGTACTTTTGTCAGTTAAATAAAGGTTCAAGAGAACTAACAAATCACAGATTCCTGTTTTTATTGCATTTTACAAAATGTTCCAACTTTTCCAGAAATGTTTATGATGTTATGCCTTATTCATTAAATATTCATAAGCTGTGGAACCAAGCAGAGATTTCAGTGCAAATGATCAATCAGCTTTCCAGTACCTCATTTACATATCATTTACATGAAGCATGCCCTCATTCATGCAAGTCATGAGCCAATGGTTGTGCTCGTAGGTGACTGAGATTTTGAGGTTGAGCAGTGAGTGCACTGTACCTCCTACTGATAAAACTTTATGATGTTAAAATTAAAATGGTGACTGTAAAAACTAAAATGTGAAATAAACTAAGTGGCAAATCAGGAATTATTATTTTTCTGTGGTATCTAGGTAGTGGCGGCAGCTTTACAGCAGAGCTCTCTACGGAGTCACTGTGAAAGTTCTACAAGGTAAAATATGTACTAATATGTCTGTAGCAAACTTCAAATAAAACATGGAATGTCTTTCAGAAGCTTCAAATGTCTGTGTTTAATCTAGAACTGCCAAAAATGGCCCATAGACATGCTAGCAGAAGTTCAGCATCATCTTAGATGCGTTTTTTCCTTATGTATAATTTACTATGTTTATTTGAGTTTTGACATTTATGGCCTAATTTGAAGGCCTAGCTCTAATAGTCACAGTTCACCACTGATTCACAGTATCGCCACAGAGAAACATTAACTGAATCACATACACACATAGATCTAAACACATTTGTACACACATACACACATAAACCCACACACACAATATCAAGGCTTATTGGGGGCTAAAGTAGGCACCTGCAAAACACACACACACACACACACGCTCGCTCACACACCCACACTATCAGGGGAAAATTGAAGCCCCAGGCACATGTGCTGCTGAGCTTTTATCATTAAGGCAGGGTAATGATGTAATGATGTAATGATGATGATCTGCTGCAGATGAAGCCTGTGATAAACACCATCTCTCTATTTCTCTCTCAGTCTACCGTGACCACCAAAAAACAGACCTGGAGAATCGCACCCAAACACACACTCACATGCAGATATTTATCCTCAGACAGACACATTAGCAGCAGACGAGTCCCTGGTTATCAGTCATCTGCTAACGTGTCTTCCTCCTCAATCCAGCAAATCAAACCTCTAAATCAACCGAGCACTCTAACAATATCAACAACAACATCTATTTATCTTCTGAGAGACAGAGAAAGAGGCAGACAGAGACAGAGAGAGAGAGAGAGAGAGAGAGAGAGAGAGAGAGAGAGAGAGAGAGAGAGCAATGAAATATTTGAGAATAATAAACAAAACATACTTCAGATTTTTAACTGGTCTTTAGAATTTAGAAAAGTCTTTTGCTTTGAATGATCCTTTAAGAAGTATTTGCAAAACCTGAAAGAAGCATCCCGCAACCAAATTACTGACATTCCATCAGCATAATGTGTACGAGGAGTCTGTGCCAGCTGAGGCTTCCAAATCAAGATATTAAGAAAAAGTCAGTTTGATCCATACTAAACTGATTTACCTTGTAAATATTGCATCTGCTTACACACTGCAAGAGCTAAAAGCATACAAAGGGCTAAAATCATGTAGCTAATTAATGTTATTTTGCAGAAGAGCAGTGATAATTTATACCATTTGTACCATCAAATGACATCGGGATCACAAAAATGAGCAATATCTGACATTACCCTTCTATGTTTGGTGGGGTTAATCAGTGTTGACATAGACCTTGTAACAGTTTGCCGTTCTCTGAACTGTATACATTGTCTAGATAAAGATAGATAAAGATAGATAGATAAAGATAGAAAAGTCAAGCGTGAATGTCAACATTCGGAAATGATCAATGGTAAAACTACAGAATTCATCCTTCACCTAACAAACTGATGAGAGCAGACTTTGCTATATGGAAATGACTGAATGCTTTTCCAAAGATTTCTCCTTCACTGGCTCAGCTCTTCAGCTTCTTTCCCCTCATGAGGTTGCACAGTGAATGCTATGAAAGTGTACACCATTTTGTTTTCACTGCTGTTACTACAGTCATGGACCACACAGCACACCATGGCTATATGTTATCTGTCAGAATGTTTTATTTATTAACAGTGTGAAAACAGTAGCTCTTTTAGCACTGCTGTCACCACCACATTGGCCAGTGGTTTGTCAACAATATGGAGGTGAAGACAGGTGTGACGTCAATCAAATACTATCTATATGACAATTACACTCATTTTATTAACAATTATTAATTACCAAATGTTTCACTTCTGTTTATAACCAGTACATGACAGTTGTACACTCATAAAATCATAATATTTTTTATTAAAACACAAAAAAAGTTTACATAATTGCATAAAAGATTTATTTCAGTAGTGACAATTCTTAATGTTGCATCCTGATTTTCAGACTTTGGGAGACCTTTACTTCGAAACAATGAGATCTAACTGCTCACCATGTGGCCATGTGGGGCCGTTGTCATAAAGGTTCTATACAGCACCATCTACAGCACATTGTCAATAAGTCTCATGATGCAAAGAACCCTTTAATCATGCAAACTGTTCTTTGAGTGTTCATACCTCTACATAGAACCATTGTCTTTACTATAGAACCCTTGAAGAACCATCTTTTTTTAAGAGTGCAGGACTTCCTGTGAAACAGCTGCCAGGTTGAGCGTTACAGGAGATCCCATTCATATTCCAACCAGTGAACTCTCTCTTCCTTTTATAAAGTCTCTAGAGAATAAGAACAGTATTCACGATGCAGACTAGAAAGCGTCTTTAAAACACACATCCTGCATTTATCCATCACTGCCTAAAGCAGCAGCATTATCAGCCCCATCAGTACGATAATGACCATTGCCTTCATTATGCTCATCATCATCGCTCTGTACCGTCTAATCCAGCCCATTCATCCTCTTTTATAGCCCCTAACTGCTCACTCACACACACACTCTTAAAGGAACAGTTTCACATTCACACAGTTTACAACCTTACTCTAAATGTAGTTGATCAGCAAATCAGTGTGAAGTTTGCATCATTAGACTTACACTGGAGTTATGAGGCTAATGTAGCTAACAAGTGAAAGACACATGCTCCACCACTTATCACTGTGTAAGTTACAGGCTTTAGGCTTGGTTCACACATACTACCACTGCATGACATGAGCGAAGTGGCTG